AGCTACTCTGTTTATGTTCCACTTGGAAGCAAGTTTTCGGAGTTGGCAAAGTGTCTTGGTATTGTCTTTTTGCGTCTGCCTAATTGGAAGTACTAAAAATTAAAAATGATGACTCTCAATTCAAGACTACAACTCGTGATAAAACAAATTAAGTATATTAAATGTTAGAATTTCATGGAAAAAATTGTGACAAATATTTAAAGTATTTCCTCAGAAAGTAATAATAATAATAAAATTAGTCAGCTTTTACATAATAATGCAAAAATTGACTAATTTTATGACGAAGATTTATAATTTTTTTATCATTTCGATTTGCGCTATTTTAGTTTTAATTTTTATTGTTTATTTTATTATTATTTATGTTTTTTTAACAATCAGAAATATTTTTAGATTTTTTTTATGATAGGAAACGCGTATTTACATTTCTAATACCTAATTATAATGAAATAGAAGTAGTATAATATTTTATTTATATTACTTTATTATAGTAATATGTAATAGTTAAAACTAGGGTAAGTATAACGTCAATACATATTTTAACTTTAAATTCCCAATTTTCTTTTCTTTTATATTAAATTAAGATAATAATAAATAAATAATAATATATTAAATGAAAATAACTATAAATTTAGATAACTAAACCTGCGTTGACTTTCATTGATATGATTGTCGTCCATCTCATTGAGCATTATATCAACAAATCATGTCATAATCAATTTTTTAAGTTTGCGCATGTAATCATTGTAATTAGTAAATGGAAATTATACCATTGAAACTAACTTTTGTAAAAAAAATATCACATCAAAGTCATTGAAAGCAAATTTTGTATACAGAAGACCTAGATATGCCACAGTTAATAGCAGATGGAGGTATTTAATTGATGGACATTTATACTTGGAAAAAACATGTGACAGTTTAGTTAATCAGTTTAGGTATATGACTAAGATTTTATTGTTGACAATAATTGCAAATTATTACAGTGTCGCTAATTTCAAAGCGATATTTGGTCCTGTAACACACACACACACACACACACATATATATATATATATATATATATATATATATCAGTAAATAAACTTTTTAATTTATGAATATGAATTTTAAAAAATAAGAACCTCTTCACTACGAATAATAATATAAGATAGATTTCTGCTTGAACACTATCAAAATCTATTCTAATATAAAAACCCTTTATAATGAATGCTATATGACACATCAAATTGAATTCTTTGGTGACTCTTAATATGTTAGGAATATAAATAAATTTATATATACCATAAACATTTTCTAAGATATCCTTTATCCTTTTTGATTTTAACAAACCTGTCCATCCTTGATTTATAAATTGACTCTTGCAATTTATTAAAGGGAGTTGCAAATAAAAATTAATGTCATAAATTCTTTATTTTGGTGCTAGGTGGCAATTAATAAATTTTCCATATAAACTAGGAACAAGAATTAGTTATAAGGCTTTAAAAACGCAGTTTGAGGTAATAAATGCACTTGCTCAGACACCCAATGAAGATTACATAAGTAATATTTGTAATTAATGCCCCCTAATTGCCATGCCATACTAAAAACATCGAACTTAAGTTAATGGGAGAGTGGGGTCTCCTGGGTCGAAGACCCCATTTGCTGAAAAGTCAGTAAAGTATAAATACCCAACAATATATAACTAAAGACAATACGAATAAAAAATATAAACTGGTGACAATATAAATAAAAATGACATGAAATAGAGAATGAGAAATCGGTTAGACAGTCTAGTATATCGTGATGACATTTATTGAAAAACAACATTGGGTGAAGTCGATACTTAGGAGGGTTGACCACTTGGAACACCGCCTGCTGATGACAACCTTTTTTTTAAATTTTTTTTTGTTTCTGTAATTAAATTTATTCATTTTAAAAATTATTAAGTATTTCATTTTAAAAATTATTTTGTAAGAATTCCAAGAAGAACACAAAAAGAATCCAAGAAATTTAATATTTTTATGTAAATAATACCTATAGCAATTACCATTTTTTATTCACTTTCATTCTTTAAAGTAGCCCGTTATTGGAGAGATCTTTTATGATTTTTATTGTAAACATTCATATATATAATAAGAATTAATACTTAAAAGTTTATCATTGTTTGACATAATTGAATTCTTTTTGTTAATTCGTTGTTAATTCATCCCTCCAAAAATTATTTCATTTGAATTCATATGGGAATTAATACCTATTTCTAAAAGTAATTAATTAGAAAATATTACTTAACCTTAAATACGATTAAGATGAGTATAGCTAATACAAAAATTTTTATTGATGTATTTTTTTTACAATTTTTTAATTATGGAACAATATTTTCCAAATTTAAAAGTTTAATTTTTCTCCTCCTTAACATTTTAATGTAGTGCCTACAATTTTTATAATTCTTTCCATATTAAATTATAAACAATAAGATTGAAAACACAAAAATTCATTCATATTTTTTTTAAAAAAGGAAACATTTTCTATGATTATTCACATATTTGAAGTTTCGTTTAAATTAAAAACGAATATTTCTTTCTTCATAGCTTTTAGCACCAAATATTTCTATTTTCGTTATTTTATATTATACAGAAGCTTTTTCAAGCATGCCCTTTAAATTAATTGTTTTTTTCGGACATTATTTCTTCCCTTTAATAAATGCTTAACACTCCAACAAATGTTTTTTATAGACAGATATTTTATAGATTTATAAGGTTTAAAATAATGGCATGATTATTTACAACTACAATAGAAATGATAAAACAAATACAGCTAAAGAGGGTTCATTGCTCATGTGAATTGCTGCATAAGCGCCTGGAAAGCACTGCTTCAAAGATAATTATAACATCAGCTTCCGAATGGGAGATTCCTATGTTAATGCGAACCAAGTCTATGAGATCATGTTTTTGTGGTTCTCAGAGTTCTTATTTTTAGCATCTTCTTTTCCGGATTACTCAGTCGTGTTATTGAATCAGAAAGTAAAGAAACTAGTCTCACATTTCGGCTTTTATGTAGAGACATGTCTTAAAAATGGTTGACATTCTAAAGAATATTTTTATTTAGAATAATAATTATAGCTGCATACATAAAAATAAGATGAATACTTTTTTTATTTATTCAAAATGATTGAATTAATGATTATCTTGGCACTGGTTATTGAAATTTTGTCCGTTTTATTGTTATTATATTCTGGACCTATCTCCAAAAAATATCTATTTATTTAAATATATCTGCCTTTTTTAAATCGCACTGAATTTCGCATAACAAATGTCATTTGAATTTTGTTTTTATAAAATGTGCACTTGAGAAAGTAAAAATGTATTGAAGGAACTAAAATATATTTTCATACATTCAGGAATATAAATACATAAAAATTGCTTTCTTCAAAAAGTCATTTGCTAGTGTTAAAAAAAACTAAAATCAACAATTATTCTCTAATAATAACAAACTAAATGATACAAAATATTCAATAATTTTAAAAAAGTTATTAATCCAAAAATTATTTTTATAAAAATAAACTAGATGCAGACTGGATTCATTTGAAAATATTTCTTCTTCAATTATTAAGAATTAGAAACTTTTTAAAAAAAATATTTCAATTTGAAACAAAATTAATTAAAAAAATATTTAAGTAATTTAAAATATTTTTTTTTCTTTCAGGAATTAATTACATTCATGCAATAAATTTTTAATTTGAATCAATGCTCTGCAAATTCAAGTTTAAAAGTCTTAAAAAAGTTAAATTTTATTAAAATAAATAATTTTAATAAGAGTTTCTTTTTTCTCTCTCAAAAAATAATTTCATAAAATAAATAAAATTATATGGGACTTATTAATTAGTTTCAATCGTTCCGCTATCATAAATATCTTTTAGCAAATCTGAAATTTAAATTAATCATGTAAAAAAATAGTTTATTAATCATTACCTGAAATTAAAGGGCTAAATTTACAGATTTGTAATTTATAAACAGTCCCTCAAGCAAAAAGATCAGAATATCTTATTGTATACTTAACTTAAAGTAATTAACAAAATAAAAATTTGATTTAAAAGTAAAAAATGAATTCTTCTGCCTTATTGTTATTTGAATTTATAAATCTACTTAGAATACTTTTCTTTTATGTCTTTATTTAACTAAATCTGAGAAGATTACTGTAACGAAAAGTTAAAAGTGCTTGAGTCAAGTTTTTTTTGTGATTGACAGGTGTCATTCTTACTTTAAATTTCAAGACCATTATAGTGTTTAAACTGGTTTTGAAATCATTTGTTTTTACAAGTGCAAAAATTTCTTTTAAAAACTTTTTTTATTACATAAGAATATTTTCATAACTGCATATACATCTTAATGATCATGGCATTTATTAATCAAATAAAAACTAAAACGAAATAATACTAGGAAGAGGTAAGATAAATAAAATTTATCCGCATGAATGTTATTTAAAGTCGATAAAAATATTATAATAGCGTGTCTAACCCAATGGTAATGTGTCCACTTATCGTGTGGGAGGTCTCAGATTCGAATCCGCTGATGGCGAGAAATGTTCAGAAACAAGAAGATGTTTCAGAGTTCAGAAAAGAGAAAACTGGACGGTGAATAAGACAACGAGTGTAAAAACATCCCCCACGACTTGTCAGGTTGCATAGTGGGAAGTTTGTGGGTTTTTTCACTTACGACACATCAATGCATGAGTGAAAAAAACGTTTCAATTAATAACATTAACCATTAATATCTTGTTTGTTGTTTCTTATCCCACTTGGCTGGCCAAGCCCACGAGCCCATATGGACCCATGATTGAAGGGGAAGGAAGCAGCTTCTGTTGTGATGGAGCACCCGTAGGTAGAAGCCTGACTTTTGCTCCGTGACGCTCTTACAGTCATAGAAGACCGGGACCTACGGCTTAAAGTGGATTCCGAACCACTACAAACATCCATGGCACCATGGCCAGAGCGCTTGACACTCGGCCATTCAGGTCCCAATTTTGCCAACGGCACGCAGTGTTCCCAGGTGGTCACCCACCCAAGTACTGACCGCGCCCAATGATGCTTGACTTCGGTGATCTAACGAGAATCGGTATATTCAGCATGGTACGGCCGTTGGCTTACCATATCTTCATTAATAAAACCATTAGGCAATGTTCTCTCTTAATCACCTATAGGTAAGTTGTTCGTGGCAGACATCAGAGCAACACAAGGTCCATCCATGCTCAACAACATTACAATAACTATATGCTATTATTTTTATGGCAGAAAATGCATAATGGAAAGTAGAAAGTTAAAAACAACAACTATCACCTACACAATTTTTTTGCATTTTCATTAAGTAAGAAATAACACCATTGATTGATTCAAGCTTCTTTTTTTAATTTTCGTTCAAGATTTAATTAGGAGTTAAAATAAAACACTATAATTATTTATATTTTCGATATTGTACATTTACAATTTGCCAATGCTTTTTTCATAAAAAGCAAAAAAGAATTTTAACAATTTCCGCCACCGCCGATAAATTCTATTTGATATGTTTCGTTAGAAATATGAATGAAAGGGCTTCAAACCTCAAATCTTAGAATATTCTTACAATGCTATCAATAATTTTAAAGATATACATTTCACATGATTCAGATTTCATTTATATCATCCTTTAAAATTTTATTTCTATTTAATTGTAGTAGCAATGATAAATTTTCGTGGACTACTAGCAATGCATACCTATTAACGTGCAAGAAGGTTCTATTTTGTTTAAGGCGTATGCTACACGCATAAGTATTATAATCTCACTTCCATATCTACATTGTGTATTGGAATTTGAGGGTTTTCTCCAATATGGCAGGCAAAGGTACAGTTACCTCTAAGAGAACTTCCCTTTTTTTTCTTCCCTTGTAAGTAGCCTTCCTTTTTTGTTGTGCGAAATGGTTGGCAGTAATAATGGTTGTCAATAAATATTGCCAATAGTCAATGAACCCGGACAGTAATTCCCCCCTGTGTAAGTAGCCTTTCTCTCTTGATGTACGAAATGGTTCCCCTAATAATGCCAAGTCTGCTAAAATTTTGCCAATGATCTAATAGTTAAATGTCAGGCACTGGACAAACAAAAGCAATAAATTTTCTTCAGCAAAAATAATTTTGTTGAAAAATGAACCTTCATTTTTTGATGTACGAAATGATTATATTTATCGGCAATAAATATCGCCAATGGGCAATGAGCTTGTGAGAGCATTTCCCTTTTTCCTCCTGTGAAAGTAGACTTTCTATCTTGTTGTACGAAATGGTTCTCCTAAATAATGTCAAATCTGCAAAAATTTTGCCAGTGATCTAATAGTCAAATATCTAGCACTGGACAAATTAAAGCAATAAATTTTCTTCAACAAAAACATTTCTTCAACAAAACAGAAAGCAAAACATAATTAAGCAAACTTAATAATACGGTCTTACTAATCATATAAAATTTTAAACAAGGTTTAAATTACCCTATTTTTAAAACTCAAGACCTTGACTGGCTTTGTTAAAAAAGTTTATTGGAAGGTTAAAATAAATAATAAAGAGTTTCTCTAAGAGGAAGCTGTAAGTTGAAGGTGTTTGTTTTGCATGAACTCCTGCAGCAAAAAATTTGTCTTCCTCAATTATTCACATTTCTATACACTGATTCAACGACGTTTTCTTTATTTGTTAGGGTGTGTGGGAATGCCAATGGAGACACATGCTTGGCTGATGAACAAACGACACCATTGTTCTAAAACGGTGAATCTCAACAACATGAGCCATGGTTACTGAAAGCCCTTCACTCTCATTGTCCCACTACTCTATTTACGCTTGTAAATTAACAGGTAGTAATTTACGAGAAATAGTTGAGCTACCTGTAACACATATACCTATAATAGCTACCTGTGTTATTTATATTTCAAAATAAATATTTTTTTATAACAAACAGCGTTGAATATAAAAGTGCCCAATTTCAATTTTTTTCCCATTAAATAAAAAAAAAATTTTAATTTTTATAATCACCATTTTGAATACTGCCACGTTTCCTATTATCTGATAGTCAAATACGTCTAGTACTGGGCAAACAAAATCTATTAACTTCATTTATATCAGAAAGACTATTCAAAATGTAAAAGGAATTTCAGCTATGGTAATTATAATGAATTAGTTCATGATAGAACTACAACCGTCTAGATTTAAATATAATAAAATAATTTGCAAATTATAATTATTTTATTAATTGCAATTGTTATTATTTTATAGTGATAATTATTTTATAATGTAATTTAACTATTCTGGTACTGGCAAACAAAAACAATTATCTTCATTTATGTCAGAAAGATTAAGCAAAATGCAAAAGGAATAGGAACTATGGTAATTATAGTGAATTAATTTATGATAAAACTTCAACAGTCTGATTTACAAATAACAAAATAATTTGCAATTACAATTATTTTATTAATTGAAATTGTTATTGTTTTATAGTGATAATTATTTTATAATACAGTTATAATTATGTTATTAATGATTTACAACTGATATCTTTGATTTACAATTAATAAAATAAAGAAAATATACATATACTCGTATCTGCATAACTATAGATAGTGCAAATAAATATAAATTATTAAAATAGTCATTAAATTTCAAGAAAAATAAATTTAAAATATGAACTGGTGAAATTCAATAGTAATTAATATAATTATTCTTTAAAGAATGTTATATTAATTACTAATAAACGAAAAAAACCTAATTAATTGAATAAAAACTAATTAATTAAATAAAAACTCAAAAATTACTTCACATGGCGTTATTTCAAGTAATTCCACTGAGATGTGGGATTAAAGCTTTCGCTCAAAAAGAGGTCATTAATTTTTAAAATATTGTCATTTGTAGAAAATTACTTTTTCACGAAGTGTTTTGTTTAAAAAATATGTAGTATGGCTTTTAATTATTTTAGTTATTTTGTAGTAATTATTTCGAATCGTACACTTTTATTAGTTTATTAATTTAAGCTTCCTAATTGTAAAAATGCTATTTTTACAGTTTCATAACTGTGAAAATATTTGAATAACCAAATTAATAATACACTTGTTTAAAAATTTAGTTAATAAAAATTTAAACAATATAATTTTAAATCATGAAAACATATTTCTAACGAAATTTGTTTAGGTAATTTCTGCTTCAAAAAATTCGCTGGTTTGCAGTATTTTTAAGTTTCACTTATTTTTAAAATATTGAAAAATATGAATAATTTAAAATAAAAAAAAAGTGTTTTAAAAATTATTAAAAAATTGTGATTTGTATAAAAAATTCATGCCTATTCTTTTTTTAATTTTTTTTTTTTACTTAAGTGTATGAAATTTTGTTGTACGAGACATCACTATATGAAAATAAAGTAAATATTAAATTGCGAGAAATAAAATTATTATTATATTTAAATTAATTATCTATATTATTGTGAATTTTAATTTTCAGTTTCAAAGATATAGAAAAAATAATTGTATTTAAAACCAGGTATTGTAATTTGAAATTATTCATTTATTGAATTATTACTAAAGTGTAAGAATTTTAATATATTTATCTTTATGTACTTTTTATAATTTTTATTTATTTTTAATTATTTAATTTTTAATTCATATTTAATTTTATTTCAGGTTTAATAATTTTAATCATAAAACTTTAATATTATTTAAAATATAATTATTTGCTGGTCTTCAACAATAAGAAAAAATATTAAATTTTTTAACTTATTTTAAATCCTCTGTACGACGATGTAAAACGAGAGAAAACTATGCAAGCATTAAATACGTTATAGCAATACTTTTGCATTAATTAAAGTAAATATGAGTTTTTTTTGAAAAAATTGTTATAATTATATTGAATACAAATGTTAATATTCATACAAGCGAAAGGTTTTCCCATATTATATTGCACTTTTACAAAATATTATAATTCATAAAAAATAATAAAATCAAATACAACAGTAAAACTATGTATGAAAATGAATAATTTTTGAAAATAAAATTTAAATTATGTTATACATATTATAAAAATAAATTATTAGCGTATATTAAAGGCCGTATTATTAGGGTATATTAATTAGAGTATAATATTTGGCAAAAAAATTAGTGTTATTTTCTGGTGTTTTACACAATTTTTAAAATCGAATTTATATATTAATGGCACATGGAATTTTCAAAATTAGTCGCTTTTAGAGCAATTTAAAAGTTGTTCTACATAATAATAAAATAAAATTAATTGATTATTATTATGACAAAAAATTGCAATGCTCGATGAACAAACTTAATTCAAATTTAAAAAAAAAAAAAACTGTTTTTTAACATGTCAATGAAATATTTGTTGAACATATATTCAAGTTTTTTTATTCTTAACCATGGATAATTAATTTTTTTTATTCTTTTATTTATTCATTTTTTTCAGAAAAAAATTAAAATTTTTATGTTATAACATTTCAATAAGCGCGAAATTTTTATAATCTGGGATACATTTAAACTTAAAATATTCAGTAACAATTCAGACCAATTTCATTCATTCAAATTTCATTTCCTCGGAAATTAAAGGATTAATTATTTTTCTATACACACACACACACACACACACACACACACACACACACAATAAATATATATATATATATAAGACAAAAAAAACTTCATTTTTCTAAAAAGTAAAAAAATATGGTAAAGACAAGATGTAAAAGATATGGTAACATTTTTAAAGGCAAGCTGATTTCAATGCGCTAGCCATCATTTTAAGCAATTCGCAACGATTTGGCACATCAAATTTGGTACATTAAAAACTATGAAAAATGCATACAAATCGATGCAGATAAATGTGATAGAATTCTCAAAATGCACTTACGATTTAGGTTGCCGAAGCCGAGGGATCAGGAGAGGGTGAGATAGAAGAACGACTCTTGTCTGTCTGTACCTCTCGGTGATGCTATTTCTATCCTTCCCTCTGCAACCCTGTTGCTTTTAGAACTGCAAGGCTATCCGAAAATCTCCGACCGGGGGACTTTCCCCAAATGGCCCTGCATTCGAAAGGTGTTTCCCGTCACCTGTAACGCCAGGATACAAAGAGGCCCTTGTCCTTG